GGAGGGAGGGGAGGGCTGAGGTGTGTGGGAAGCCAGGATTGAAGGAAAGAGAATGGGGGCTCTTGTTTGGGTCTTAGTCTGACCGGATTGGAGGAGACGCTTTTGCTTTGACTACTTTAATACCTTTATAATTTCAGATTTGAAAACCTTTTAGGCATTTTAGAAGCATAAGTTTGTCTGTTTGTACGACTTTCTCCGCTAATGCCCTTCACATAGGCCTCTGAATGGCTATGGAATCCAAGTTGGCCTTGCGTGTGCTGGTAAATTCCAATGCAGGCACTCCCAGAGAGGCTAAGAAATAAAGGGCTCTTGAGGTGGCACGCTGCTTAACGCGTATATATAATATACCATTTTCTGCTATATATCAAAGTATATTTTTGTCTCTTAGACTCTTAGAGTACGTGAAACCAATTATCTTATTATATAAGCTTTTTAAAAAGTTTTACAATGTTAACAGTCAGGAATTTTTGGTGACTATGATAGCATATAAACATAATGTATAAATAAAATAGCAGCACCTAGCTAGCCTTTGCTGATCTTGAAAAATTAAACAAGGTCAGATCTGATTAGTCCTTGCATAGGAGCTTCCAGAAAATCCCAGTACTGTAGGTTAGACTGGAAAATCAAACATACTGGAAGAAGGCACTAGCAAAGACTCACTAGCACTGATGATGTTACCTAGTCGGGTAATGAAACATCTGCAAGCAAATTACCAAGTTCAGAGAACACCAAGGTGTCTACAGTTCAACCCTGAGCTACATATATTCTCTTCTATTGGAACAAGCAAAGGACTTGTGTATTGTTGACAGAAAATTACATGGACATGTTGATAAGTTCACAGCTCAATTTGAAATAGCCTTACATTTTTTTAAGTAAATGAAAATTTAAATAATGGAGAAGGCAACATATGATTCCATCAGCAATACTTCTGTGATTCAGTACAATTTCTTCTTTTTGTTCCTCCATAAAGTTTTTGTTCAGAATGAAATTGACTGCAAGAACTTACAGTAAATTTCAACTTAACCTTGTGTTGCATGCCAAGGGAAGCAGCTGTAATATCTTTGTATAAGCATGATTGGGATTTATTGTTTTGAGGACACATCTTCTTTTCATCAATTTGCAGTTATCAAGCTTTTGTTTCACAATAATATTAAGCAGAAAATAATAAGTAATACTATTTAAGTAATTCCCACTACTTAAAATAATAATTTCATGTAATACCAAATATTAATTTTTCAGTTAAGTTCTGTAACTTGAAATATAAGCAACATTAGAAAATATGCAATATGCATTAATGAATTTTTTTCTTTGCTTATAGAAATTTAGGCCCAGTTTGGAATCCAAATTAAGCACTGAGATGTTTTACCATTGGTTAACAGTAAAAAGGTGAGGTGGTTCTTTGTACAATTTTTAACATACCATTTTTAGATTGTTATATTCCTTTTGAGTAAAAAGTAAATTGAGTTCCTAGAGTTCTTAACTTGATTCTGTTCTGTTCAATAATTTAACGTATAAATCAGAAATGCTTTTTTAATCTTAGGCAGATAGATTTTCACAGGAAATATTTATTTTGCTTGCTTTTTCTGCTGTGCATGTTTATGTAAGTCACCAAGGAATATTGAAACTTGCATGTCAGTATTATTGTACCAAATGATTGCAACACCTACACACAAAGTACTTTTCTCATATAAAATAGAACTGTATTAAGTTGTTATAGAGTGGAAAAAGGACAGCTGCTCACCAACTTGCTATTGTTGATCTAATTTTTAAAGTCATATATATGGTGCAGTATAGCCTACTTAATTTAAAAAAAAATGCCTGATCCTGATGTCACATTAACAGAATAGCATCAATCTTGCTCTCTATTGTATTCTTGTCTAGATATACTAAACTTTTTAATTCTGAGAGCATTGATGAAGAATTGTTACTTGTCATTCTCTTTTCAAATCTTGTATGTTTCAGTTGCAAGGTCCTATTTTTCAACAATAATTCCTTTTTTATTATTATAAAAATGTGTGCTTAGGAGAATCTTAACAGCCCTTTCACTTGATGAATAACAATTATTCCTGCCACTTAATCCATTTGCTCTGTTTCATAAAATATTTCAGGCCTCCAGGATTGCAGTTCACTTACATTTATTTAGGAATAAGAGCTATAGAAGTCATTGTGACTTCCTTCCAAGTACACAGGCATAGGATGATGTTTTCATTTTAAGAAAACCTACCTGTGGGGAAGATAGCATCTTCTAAGTTAATGCTTTTATTTTTAAAATTAGAAATGAGATTTAGAAGTGCATTTGACATACTTTACATGATTTTCTTGATAGTTAAATTTTTAATTTTCAAACATAATTGGAACACTGCAGCCAGTCATAACAGAAAGATTATCCAGACAGGCATCTTAGTATTATTGAACAGGAATACTGTATTTAAGCGTTCTTGAACA